GAAATACACAATGTATTTTTATATTTACTAATTAATAAAAAATTCAATCTAAAGCATGTTACTGGCTAAGATAACACTGTATATTAGGTTGTAATGTGCATGGGAAAATTGAATTATACATGACTTTTCTATATGCTCTCTAAATATCTGCATCTGCAGTTGAAAAAAACCCATATCAGTCGACCACAAATTGTGTGTCTGTGCATATATAACTGTGTGTGCATACAGTATACACATGAAGGGGCATATGTGTATCCATTGTTGTTTTGGTGCCCTACGGGGAGGTAGCCAGAGCACAAGATTTTCATTGCAGTGGAATGCACTGCTTCAAATGCAATGACAATGACAATAACCTTTAAACTTATATATGGCTAAAAGTTAACCCCTTGCATCAAGTATTAATTCAGCCGTAACCCAAACCTCATTCTTACCTGAACCCCAACAAATAAAGTCTTAACCCTGTCCTTCAAGGAAGTGAGAATTGGCCAAAATGTCCCCACTTTCCAAAAATGTTCTCACTCTCAAGGTCTAAAACTCAAACTGGTCCTCACTAGAGATCTAGCACATGACATTATATACTGTCAGACGATTTGTCAATCGTGAGAGATTTTGTGATTTAGCCCATTGTTGATTGTGTCAAACATTATAATTATTCAATACTTCATTTACTAGATAAGCCTAAAACAGACACTCAATTGTGGTTATTTTTAATGTATAAATAATTTCTCTATTGAATTTCCAGAAAATGTAGTCCTGTATATTATGATATATATCTCTATTGTGTTATATGATTATACAATGTGATAGAAGCATAGCCCTAGTCCTCACAAATATAGGAGTAAAGAGCACACAACATGAAGCATTTTGTGTTTACCCAGTAAACAATCAGTGTGGAGAGCAGGGAATGATGAGGCTGCAGCAGAGGCTGATTCTCTTCTGACTTGGCCTGCAGGCAGACAGTAACCCAATCTGAGCGAGAGAGGGAGGAGTGATGGTGGAAAAGAGTGAGCAAAAGACAATAAGTTGGAAGCACAGTGTTGATTTGAAAAAACAGAAAGATGAGCCTCTGAGCCCCCCGAGGAAACAGACACCAGGCTTTGTCTCCTTCTATAAATATCATTCCTCATTCTCCACTCCCATTCGCTTTCTCCCGCTCCCCTCTTTCTCTCCTTCCCTCTCCTCCTCTATCGTCTAGCTCTCTCTTATCTCCTTCTTCATCCTCCCTCCTTCACGTCATTGTCTTCCTTCCTCCTTCCCTCAGTTTTCTCTCATTATAGCTCATTTTCTTTCTCTTCGCTTGACTCTCGTCCTCATTAACTATTGCCCTTTCTTTTCTCCCCAGTTATATTCTTGTCCCTAATATGGCTGGGTATTGAATCCCAATACTAATTTGATACAGACCAAAATGTGTCTTAAGTAAAGTTGGGGTTCAATAGATATTTATTGAATGTGAATCCGGTTTCAAATCCTTATCAAATGCATTTAGGTTTAGTGTACATCCTGTCTAGTTTTTTTTTTTTTTATTCTTTCATTTTAGGCAGTATTGGAGAATTTTCCAATACTAGTATCAGCTTCTCAAATGTATGGATGGTAAAACAAAAAGAAAGCAATTCTGGGCTCTGGGAGTTATGATGAGCCAATTTTCTATAAAATCTCAAAAAAGAATTAAACAGTTGACAAAATAATAAGCAGACTTGAAGTCAGCTTTACTTATTCTTTGATTTTGACAGTTTCTGTTTATATCGTAATTTTACCAAAATTTAATTTAGGTTAGGTGCTCCAATGGCTACTTATGTTAACAACATGTAACGTTTGAGAATGCTGTTTTTAGTAAATAAAGAGGTTTATATAGTAAAACATCTTTATAACCCTTAAAATAAGGTACCAAAAAACGATTGTTGTAAGTACTACTGTCAAACACAATTCAAATGACACAAAGCCCGACTCAGTTTTCCCCACTCTTATCCTACTGGTTACTCTCTTGGTATGAAGTCCCGTCCTTTGCCAAAGCAAACATAATTAGCATCAAATTAGCGAGAACGGCAACTAATGTTTCACTGATACCAAATTCATTGATTAATCAGTGTGCAAAATTATCTGTCATCTGATCTGCATGTCCAAAATGTTCCATATTGTTGTATGTTGTTCTCTCTCCTTCCATCCATCCCACGCACACTCTCTCTCTCACACACACACACGCACACACATCTCTAACTATAGTCAGACTCAAGGCGACTGACATTACTGGCATCGCATGGATCATTCACTGGTGCAGCTGCTTTTTCAGAGCTTGCACTGTTCAATCCTTTGGCATGGCACTACCTCTCCCACCCCTCCTTCTCTCTCCCTCTCTCTCTCTCTCTTGCTTGCTCACCCGGCACCCCCCTCCTCCTTCCCCCTCCTCTCACTGAGCTCTTCCAGAGGATGACTTCACGCTCTGGAAGAGGGCAGCAGCAGCGAAGACTATGGTGGCTACGCTACGTTAGCATCTGAGATCTCTTCCCAGCAGCGTGGCTTACGACCAACCAGGCACCCCAGCTGGAGAGCAGGGAGAGAGCGAGAGAGAGAGAGAGAGAGAGAGAAGAGGGGAGGAGTGGGGAGAGACAGCGGGAAAGAATTTGGAGGGGGAGTAAGTGAGGAGGGGAGAGGATTTTGGAGGAAGAAGCAACAAGGAGAGGGAGGTTGAAAGTTTGATTGCTTCTGAGATGGTGCCATGCGCTGGCATAGTGTGTGTGTGTGTGTGGAGCTGGTGAAGAAGCACTCACTCTGGATTTAAGAGGATGATGGTTCAAGAGACGGGAGAAGAAGAAGAAAGGGGAAAAGAGCTCGGAGAGGCTGAGAAGAGAGCCACAGCTCACAGGAGAAAGGCAGTTGAGCTCCAGACGTCCGCATAGTACCGTCACTGGAAACCCATGTTGCTGAGAGGCTGTAATGACTCGCTGTGCTATTACTGCTGCCACTTTACTGTGTGTGTGTATGCCTGTGCGTACTGTTGAAACCAACAATGCCTCTTCTCTTGTGGGAGTGTGACAGCTCAGCACAGACAAACCCCCAAATCCCACAAGTGAACAGAAGCTCAGAACTGAGATGAGACTGAATCGAGCAGATCTTTTCCATCAGGAGCCGGATCCTTCCACTCTGGGTTTGATTGAGGCTGTCTGTGGGTTCGGACGAGCTCAGTGATTTGTTTGTTTGAGACCGGGGTCACAGTGTCTGAAGACAGACGTGTTGAAAATCAATTCGCCATTTCGCTTCGCCTTGCTGGGTAGTGGGTTACACCAGTGAGTATTAATCCTGCCTGGTATCAGCTGATCTGTGTTTGGAAGTGGTGACAGGAGACTAAGACAGGTTCATCTTTTCATTCTTTGCCTATGACTTTCCTATTTCGAAGTGGTTTGCTGTTTTTTTTCAGTTTCATTGACAAAAAGCATAAAAGTATCACCAGAGCATCAGGGCACACTTGTAGATCAAATTTTCTTTCACACACTGTATTTGGAGTATGTGACTGGGTTCCTGTTTCTCCTTTCAGAAACATAATATAAACATGCAGGACACAAATCCTCGCTCACCTTAGGATATCTGCAGAGATTGAAAAATCGTAAAAAGCTTTGAATTTAGTCGCTTCAAATAACGCCTTAGAAGGTATTACCATCTAATACCTGCTGCAGACAGTATCATTAGTTATAACTTTTTGTATGCGTTTGCTGCCTTTTAGGAGATGCTTTATATCTGTAAACAACAGAGAGACTGGCGGATTAGTGACTGAGCACGCAGGAGGTTGTTCAATTTGCATGTTGTTAATACAGCCTGTGTCATAACGGAAGACTTGATTTTTGAATAGAACAAGTCTGGTTATTTGAAAGGCTGCTTTGAGTTTCGTTTGAAGCATGTGAATGGTGCAAAAGAAAAGCTTTCTGTGAACCAAATTCATAATAATAACTTGTGACACCGATGTAGAATTTTGGTTGATTAAACTATATGAATTAAAATATTTAAATTAATTAAGTTGTCGACCAAAGTTTAAACCAAAAATTCACATTCAGTCATTTGCATACAAATTTAAATTGAAATGTTAAACATTGAATTTAAATTGCAATCACAAAATGATATTCCCAACAATGAATTTAAATTCAAAATCAGTGATTCACACGTCCGTAAAAATCAGAAACACAAATATAAATTGTGATATTGACTGTATATACTACAACTAATAAAGACAAATACTGTTATTTTTGAAATTGGTACCAGTAACACACTTTAATTTGGACGTACATTACAAACAGGCACAGAGGAGCCAAGGAGACGGGTTAAAACGACCTCATTGTCAAGTGTGCTCAAGTGTTGCTGCTGAATAGGTCTCTGCTCCGTAGGTGATCCCTGCCTCTGTCCTCCTGTGGAGACATCATGCATATTTTCTCACAGTACAGACCACATGAGGCAGAGCGTATTCTCCTGTTTTCTATCTATAAACACACCTTCTGTTTCATTCCTTTCAGCTCATTCTATAACTCTGGTTTTTGTATTAGCTTTTTAAGAGTTTTCCTGTAAGCTTCTTCCGCTGTTATCTTTTATGTATGAAGGCACTCTGGGTGAGAATGTCAGCTAGATGCCTTGCAGTCGTGCGGGTGGTCATGAGGATCGGGGAGGATTTGAGACACTGACTCAGACCACACTACTTTCTCAATTTAGCATTCCCTCTTTATTAAAAAGAGGACTAATCAAAAGGGAAAATGGGAGCTATCCTGTTTTCTCTTCTCTTGTTGCAGGTGGGCAAGAAGTCAAGACTGAAATGATCTGTTCTTTTTCAGCAAATTGTTAAAAGTGACAGTGTGCAGAAGTTTTTCCACATAGTTTCAGTCAGTCTGTCCTTTTCCCAGTGCACTTATTTCCAACAATGTTTAGATATCCAAAGTACCTGCTGGTTTGTTGAGGACTTAGAAGTTTTACCTTTTACTTGATAAACTGAGACTGAGACATACATTTCTTTTCTCACCTTGCAGGTACACAGGAAGATTCGGGAGGACTCGGACATGGCCCAGGATTCCCTGCAGTGCCTGGCCCAGCTGGCCTCCATGCACGGGCCCATCTTCCCCGATGAGAGCGCCCAGGTCTCCTACCTGGCCCATCTAGTGGAGGGCCTGCTCAGCATGATCAACGGGTCAGTGTGTCACTGTTTGTGGCTCAGAACTTGTACAATACATGTGTGTGTTTTTTAGCCATACTAGTGGATTATTGGTCTGTCTGAGTGATTGCCATACAGACATGCATAATACATGCATACATCTGAATGACTTTGGTGATTCCCTGACCTTTACTTGAGTGCCACCATGAGATTGTCCCTTGTGACTTTCAGTGAAATGTCTCAACGACTATCAAATTGATTGCCATTGAAATTCGGTACAGTTATTCATGTTCCTTGAGGGATATGAATTTTATTCTTTATTTATTCTTCTCCCAGTTGTTCTCACATTGGTGGAGTGTCAGCATTGTCCTTTAAATTGAGCTCGGCAACATGCTAACATATTGTAGAGAGACTAGATATCATATGGGATTCGTGGTATTGTAATATGACATAGGTTAAATGCTGCTTTTGGTCTTTCTATAGTTACTGGATCTTTGTTATTGAGTCCACCTGTGTTTTTCCTGCTGTGAAAAGTCAAAATGTTTGCTGTGCAACCAGTCCACTATTCAGCATCCTATTCAAATAATGTACTTCAACTTGGTGTTGGCAGGTAAACACAGGCCAGCCACTGTGGTGACTACCCTTTCTGTGTTAATGCTTGAACCAGTACATTGTCTCTTTTAAAGGTACTAATCAGTGAGATGTGAAGTTTTGAGTTTTGTGTACTGACAGCAACCAAAATGTTTACTTCATAGGATAAGTTTATTTTGAGTTTTCCAAGTTTGTCTTAAAACAGTACTCATACCATATGTATGTTGACAGCTATTGGGCCAATTCACAGCCAATTGTCCATATTGGCTGTGAAGAGATACACCTTTTTAGTTCAACAGGGGAAGAAAACCATAACTTCAAAAGCAAAGAAAATAAGGAACCAAAATTTCTCAGAAGGGACCTGCTTTATTTCAAATGTAAATCCCCTCAATAGAGAATGTAACATTATTTTCAAAGCAAACGCTGATCTCGCTCATTCTTTTTTTGACAATTTGGTAAGTCTTATGTATGATAATCTGCGCAACCTTCGAGTAATTTCCACAACACTGACAGGGGCGGCTTTAGAGACAACAGATGGAACTAATTCAAACCTGCCTATTGAAAGCAGCTCCCATAGGGATGCAGGGGTTATTACACACACACTTCACTATAATAAATTCACTTTCCCTTTGCTAAATTATTCTTATTGTGCAGGGATGTATTCAAAAGTAAAGACACTCTGGGCATGGAAATCACATGAAGTCAAAGGACAAAGCTTAGACTGCATTTACACAATAATAGAGGCTCTTGCAGAGGTGAGGTGTAGTATTGCAGTGCATGCATGCAAAACTATTTACCTTTATTGATTTGCCTTTTTAAATCAATACAAAAACACAGAAGAAGTTGTAGACAAATGCAAGCAGATCTGTCAGAAATGATTTTTAATCTAGGAGACAGCTCAGATATGGATCCTTTAATGAAGTCTGACTTGTACATTGAATATAAATGTAATACTTTTCCAAAACCTCAGCTGTCTATTACAGCTACATATTGTAGCATTCACAAATCAGGATCAGCAAGCACAGTTACTTGCGTTATATTGCCTTGGCTACAGTCTCAGTAGCTGTTTATCTCCCTCCAGTATCTCAAGGATTTCATGTTTCTTAAATCCAGAGACTCAACAGGAGTGTGACTCATACCGTGCCATTTCTGCTTTATTTACAGGAAGTAATTGCTTGTTGAGTCTGTGTTTTTAATGGCCTCTGATTCTAGCATCTACACACTGCAAACTGGCTGGAGAGGGATGAGCTTGTCTTCCAGTTCAGTAACAAATAGAGTTAAGCAGAAACTTATGTACGTTATTACGTTTTCCAGTTTCCTCTAAAACCAAATTTATGTGAAAGTGGATCAAATTATGCCTTTATTCTCCCCATAGAGACACACTTTATTCAGCCAGAGAGGAAAAAATAATCACTAGCAACCACTCAAACATTGTTAAATACTGAGTGTGGGTGCGTTTAAGTGTATCAGTCCTACAATCATTTAGTAGCCGTCCTCTAATCTAATATAGAGCTGCCTGACCCTTATGATGAAAGTGATGTGGACTGTTTCCCAATTCTAGCTTGAAGCGCTTCAGAATTTAATGAACCTGAATCTTAACGAAACCCATGTGGCGTCACTCTCACTACAATTTTAAAACTATATTTCTACTTCAATAACCAGGCCTTTCTTGTAGAGAAGAAGCCATCTGACAACTGTGGGTCCTTTCTGTTCATCAGTTACAAATAGATGTCAGGCATCAACAATAAAATATCATTTCAAAGGCATTAGGAAGGGTTGGGATGGGATGATATCTACTCTATGAGATGATAGGTCTATGGTCATACATGTTTCTATACTTTTTATATTGTGGGAGCTATTTCTGGGTGTATTGGACACTTGTGGGCAATGTTGCAAGTCAGTGAAATCCAACTGACTGTAGTGCTTTTACAGAGACATTAAAATTATGAATAGATAATTAAAATAAAATATGAAATGAAAACACACGATACTTTTACATGTAAGTAGGAAATGTAACTTTCTATTTTAACCTTTCTCGACCAGACATCATATCGCGGAATTACGAATTATTGCGATTGTGTGTGGGAATGATCACTTTTGTATCACAAATTTAATTTTCACAGAAAAACATGATTAATGATGATGTGCATTTGTTGGGGTCTGTACCAAACAAAGAAGTTTTGTTGGCCAGGGCAACTCTGTAGCACTACATTATTTCAATATATTGCTGTTTTTTACCTTTATCAGAAAATTGCATCTTCTGCGATTTGCATATTTCATTTGGCCATATTGCAATTTTGATCATTTTTCAATGAATTGTGCAGCCCTAATTCAAAATTATAGAAATTATTCTCATTACAAAGAATACATACAAAGCCACACAACATTTTTTCTAGATATTATAATAAAGGGGAAAGAAACTCCAAACTGATGAATAAATATATGTTGACATTTTGGCTGATTCAAGTCTGAAGGAAGCTCAAACTGAGTTTTTGTTAATCTGCTGTGGTTCACCTCAGTTTATTTAATCTTGTGATCCAGATTTATTTTTGACTTGACTTGTAAAAGTTGGAGTTAAATTTTGTCCTGCTGACAAAAAAAGGTTAGCTCTTGCTCTTGTTTTAGCATTACTGCGTCTTCATTACTCATAAAGCAGCAGATGTATCAAAATGGCAATAGGTTTCCAGTAGAATAAATTGTGTGTACTCCAGTGTTCAACTCAATTTATTTAGCTGAAAATCACTTCACCAAGCAGTACTTTTCTGAGCAAAGGAAATTAATGTTTTTCATCTCTAAAGCTCTGCTCAAGGCCAATTTTCCCTCAATACTTAACATTTTCTCAAGCTTTCTACTTTAAAACTGTTTCCCGTCACATCCCACAGAGGTGTCATTTTGGATTTATGAGTCAAGAGTCTGTAATCAGAGCTTCCAATCAGAAGTAATGCAGCACTTGTCTTGAGCCGCTGTCCAGCAGAAATAATCAAACACTCAATCTTCGCTAAACTGGCTTGCTTCAAGGAATTGTTACCAAAGTTGACCTACGGACTATATTTTTACCCTTATAAGACCACATGACACAAATAGGGGCCACTCCAAACGCTTAAACAGATTATAGATTTTGCTCGAGGTGATTCATGACAGACATGGTTTTACTAGCATTACATTTGAATTGTTGTGGGCAGGTGTGTGGCGTTAAAAAGACTGAGCTGCAGGGCCTCCTCGGTCCGTGATACTTGTACCGCCTGCTTGTTAGCAGAGGTCATGTGAAGAAATAGAACTTGTGATCTTTTGCTGAGAAACCTTACAAGTTGTGCGAGCTCATGGCTTGCCTCACTGGCGGCAGTTTGGAGCCTATTGATCGTTTCCTGTGTGTGGCGTGTGGAGTGTGTTTTGGGCTTCAGGAAGATGCATTAAAAGAGCTCCTCTGTTTTTAGCAGCTGGGTGAGGCAGTAGTTAGGTAAAGAGAGAAGCTGTATTTTAGGCAGAGAGAGTGAAAAAGTTTGAGTACCGTACCAGCTTAAAAAAGAGGAACACGCCCCTTTCTCACAAGCAATGCCTAAGTGCAGTAGAACAAAGTGGATTTTTTTCCGCATTTGTAAGAAGAGTCTCTTCAGGGACTGCAACTAACACTTCTTTTATTTTCAATTAATCTGCCTATTATTTCATTAATTAATCGTTTGGTCTATAAATTATAAGAGAATAGTGAAAAATGTCCATAACGATTTCCTAAAGCCCTTGTTTTGTTCCACCAACAGTTGAAAACCCAGAAATGTGTAGTTTATTATGATTATAAGATGATATTTGCATATTGGAGTTACCTTAACCAGAGAATAGTTGGAGTTTTTGCTAGGCTGAAAACAACTATTAAAAAGATGAATCAGTTATCAAAATAGTTACAGATTAATTTTCTGTTGGTTGACTAAACAGTGAATAGTTTCAGCTCTACTCTCTTCTATAGTTTAACTCTTACCTATTACCCTCTCATTATTTGATCTCCTGTTTAATCTGCTTGGTTTTGACCTACAAGACTGTTACCTCCACAAGACAAACATTGTGGCGTTGCTGCCTCTGGATATCTTTTATCTTCTCAGTGCAACTCATGACTAACACTGAGCTCCTCTGTATTCAATCTGAGCTGCAGTCACTCCTGTAACATCAGGTGCACCTTAACTCTCAGCTAGCTAACATCAGGGGTGGTTCAGCCTTGGATTTTGACCTCTCATCCGTTTCTTAATCAGTTCTTTTTTTATTCATTCAATTTGAGTTGAGTTGGGAACTTTATAAAAAGAATGTAATGTTTTCACTCAAGCCTAGTTCCTCACTTCTTTTCACACCTGATTTTTTCATTGGAGAGTTCTCATTTAACCTTAATGGAAAGTTTATTTGAGTCACAGCACATTTTCTTAAAAGCTCAAGTGGAAAAGCAAGACTTATATTGTCTACATTGCTTCAACTTTGAGTCAATTGACTTGATATCTTGACAGACCTTCATAGAAACACTGTTTCATATTAACTTAGCTTGATAAATGACCTACAAAGTTAATCGGAATTATGGTCCCACAACTACAACATGTGGTTTTATATTTAAGGATAATATTTAACTATACCCCCCTGTAAATCCTAAAGATGCTCGCATCCTGATTGCCTTAACAAATTGCTTTGTGGAAATTAAATGTTGGAAGTCTCACAATTTTTCCAGCTCTAAAATAACTAAATTGTCTGGAGATGGTTCAAAATGCACCTGCAAGACTTTTAACAATAACTAAGAAAAGACAACACATTAGCCCCATTTTGTTATCCTACCACTGGCTTACAGTTGGTTTTAGAATACAATTTAAATTTGTATTGTTCAGTAATAAAACCTGAAATGGATTTGACCTATTTTGTAACCATGGTCCTTTAAAAGATGAAATAATAACCCAAGTTTTGAACTACTCTGCAACCGGTCTTTCCTCTTTTTTTAACTGGCTTTTTGCAGTATATTGAATTCATTGTATATATTAAATTAATTTAAATGAAGGCTTATTGTTTGAAAATGTTCAGCTCTAGTGCAGTTACATAGCCAAGTTTGGGTATACGTACCAAAACAATACTTTTTTGACAAGTCAGTACTTTAAAAAATAATTTTTCAATTTTTCAATTAAAACAAAAAAAAAAAAATCAGTTAAAAGGATGACCTAGATGAAATAGTCAAAAACTGGCAAAATGTTCGGTAGGCAGCTGTAGGTTCAAAAAGTCCACCAAAGAACAATTCATTACTTTCCTATACTCTGTGCTGCAGACACATTTGTACCAGGAAAGGTTCAATACCCAGCCCTACTTTTAGTAGTTTAGTAGTAGAGTTTACTATATATTTTATATAATTTTTCAGTGATGTTGTTGCCATTGTTCAAGCACTTTGTAACTGTTAATAAAAGTGGTATATAAAAAAGTCGGTTAGTAGAGTTTTTAACAGGAATAGTTCATGGGAACTGTGTATGATAGAGAGTATTTTCTGGTCATTTGTGGGTGTGTCTGTAGTCGTAGGTTCTGATCTGACTTAAGGGGCCACACGCGCATGTACAGTATAAATAACTGACACACACACACACACTTGAATGTGCACACGAGCTTGTTGTTGGACCATGTGATTCAGTGTGTAGGGGTCTCTCTCTCTATATTCTCTCACAGGCTCTCGCTCACTCACTCCCTCTCTCTTCCCTCCTCTCCTGCTCCGTCTGTAATCACCTATTCTTGGAGCTTTTTTCCAATTGCCTCATCGGAAAACCATGCAGAGAGGGATGGCTGATCTACAATGATTGAACAGTTCTGCTCGCAATTTAACTCCATCTGATAGGGGTTAGCCAGGCCTCTCACACAGTGTTCCTGTCTGTGTCAGTTCAGACATAAATTCAGGATTAAGACTTTCACTATTTTGGTGCAGCAAAAGCAGCACAAAAAGAGACAAAAAATATATGGAAAACTTCAGGGGTGGTGTTGCTTTTTTGGAGAAGGGGGTTGAAAGAGGATTTCCCCTTAAGTGTCGGTAACATGGCTGACTTTCATATTATAAACTTTCAGCTGAGTGGAGGGCCGTGGACTCGTGGGAGTCTTATTGATAATTCAGCAGCTTGATGTTATCAGTCCATTTTTAGCTAATCCCAAATATATCGGTATCACTGATACCGATATATTTGGGATTTCAGTCCTGCAGCTTGGATATATACTGATACTGATTTGAGGTTATTTAGAAACAGTACCTTCATAAAGTTTGTCTACCAGAGAGTCCTGACAAGTGTATATTTTAACTTTAAAATGTCGCTCAGTACATATGTTGGTTAGATTGATTGAAATACCCAGATTTTAGGTGTCCTAATCAAAAATGTTTGTTTAATTTAGGTCATTTTGTGGTGTTTCTGCAGTACTGACACTATAGAGACATGTTGCTTGTAAAGTATGTTTTGAATTGGAAAGCTCCACTCTAGTTTTTGGATAAAACCCAAGACTTTCCAGCCTTTCCTTAATTCTGACTTGTTTTGTTTTTGTTATATGGAGCTTTTTCCCCCCACTTTGTTCCTCTTGTGTCTTTCTCACACATTGATTTTTGACATTTGTTTTTCGTTTCTGGCCCATCTGCCTGCTCACAGTTTTGTCATGTGGTGTAACGCAGTTCTATCATGTGTTGATTCATCTTTTCGGAGAAATTCAGAGGGCTTAGTTTGTTTCAAATACAGAGGAATTGTTCAAAAGTAGATTTCATACAGAAATGAATGCAAGTTGGGTTTTAAGATGGTTCATCAGGCAGCCCAATATTTGCATCTTCTTAATGACTCTTGCGCATGTTGAAACAAGAAATGCCACCGGCTGAAGGGCCACAAGATTATTAGCCACACTAGCAGCAGGGCTCTATGCATGATGATGGCTGGTGGGTCAGTCAGACTGAAATATCTTGACAACTACTGGATGTATTCCCATCGAATTTGGCACAGACATTCATGGGCTCCGGAGGATAAGGCCTACTAAGTTTGATGATAATCTAACTGCTCAAAATCTCATAATTCACTCATCTAGTTTGTGATCAAATAACTGCAAAACTAATGACTTCCCCATCAGCCCCAGCAATACCTTGTGTTTAATGATAATTAGTAGCTAGCACGCTAAATTAAGATACCTTGTAAACATTATCTGCTAAATATCAGCGTGTTAGCTGATGCTGACATTAGCATTTACCTCAAAGCACCGATGTGCCTCACAGAGGTGCTAGCGTGATTGTAGACTTATAGTCTTGTTAAACAATATTTGACACCTGATTAAACAGTCGTTGTTAACTTGCAGCCTTGAGTTGTTTTAGAAACTTGCATAGAGACTGCATTACTTCTTCTTGTGATCCTTTAGCATCTCCCGCGTTGATTGTACGGGCACTGTGGGTTGATTTGTCCAGATGTTGTAGAATTCAGATTACAAGGCATTTTTCTGTCTGGTTTTGAAATTCCACAACATGTGAGCAAAATATGATTTTTGTTTTTTTTGCGTTTCCAGATCTGTCACTTCATGCTTCATGGTATGATCTGATGATAAAAGTCTCTTTTAAAGTGAGCAGTGTAATTACAGCCAGTCGTTCTATCATCTTGTACTCTGTGTACTGTACTATGAGGCAGAAATACCATAAAAATAACCTCAGATGCAGCTGTGGAAAACTGCTCAGGGGTCAAGTTGCCCACGAGTTTTGGTTAAGGATCAATTTTCATGCATGTTTCCAAACCTCAGTCACCAGCGGGTAAACTGGAAGGTGACCCCAGTTTAGCCTCAGCCTCACCCTGGTGAATGGAAACTGTCCTTCTTGAGGCCAAAGCACGGGTTTGACTCAAAAATGGGAAAGAAGCCGTTTAGACTTTCTTAACCTCTTCTGTCGAGAGAAGGAAATTGAGTTTTACCACAGACCGTAATGCCGGTGGCAGATGGATCCTAAAATTCACAAGGCATCGGCACTGTTTTACTACATTTGTCTGGCTTTAATTTCTCACCCTGATTCTCCCAACAGCTTTAATCATTTTACATAAAGTATTACATTAAGTATTCTGAGCTCTGTTTATTTATATCAGGACCAGGAATCAGTCAGATCTTATCTTTAGATCACATTTTATTATCTGCATTCCCAGGATTGAGATCGAGGACTCAGAGGCGGTAGGCATCTCCAATATCATCTCCAATCTGATCACCATGTTCCCCCGAAGCATTTTAACGGCACTGCCCAGCGATCTCTTCACCTCCTTCATCAACTGCCTCACGCTGCTCACATGCTCGTTCGGACGGAGTGCCGCCCTTGAGGAGGTGGTGAGTAATAGCGCCTTCATCTGCCTCTCAAAAATCAGATCATGTTTCTTAAATTCTGTCACATCATTTCTTATGTTAACGTAGATCTTGGGGAACAAATCTACAAGTGTTTGATTTTAAGTTTTTGGAACTGGATCACGTGCCCTGAGATGTTGTTAAATACTGTAATATGAGGAGTCTCAGGAATATCTGTCATATTTGAGGCTGCATTTTTAGCATTTGTAGTGTCTGTCCTTGCCTTCTGATCAGATAAAATAAGATTTTCTAAATCAGTGGTTCCCAACCTTTTTGGCTTGTGATACTTTAAATGTTGGTCACTGGTTGTAATAAACCACAGATTGTGGAAAGTTTAACGAGAGAGTGATTGTCTTTGTTTAATTTACTAAAACTTGTGGCACTACAGTCAATGTATACGGCTGTGAGAGAACATAAACTGTGCAATCCCACACACTGTCGATCACTTATAATCGCGTGGTACAAGGTTTCAAAGGTCAAATAATAATAGTAATAATTAGCTCTTTCTGTCCTTGGTCAGCTGGATAAGGATGACATGGTTTACATGGAGGCCTATGACAAGCTGCTGGAGTCATGGCTGACACTTGTCCAGGATGAGGAGCATTTTCCTCGCGGCTGCTTTGTTCAGCCGGCAATACAGGTCTTCAACTCATACATCCAGTGTCACTTGGCTGCTCCTGACGGCACCCGGAACCTGGTGAGGCTCTGCCCTTTTTTCATTTCTCATCAATGATAGACATGGTGTGTTTAGCTGAGGGAAGGCAGCAGACTCTAAACATTTAGAAACTGTGTTTAAGTATAGAAGTGAAGAACTCTGTTCCATTCATTTCAGCCTATCATATAGTACTGGATGTGCTCATACATAATAGCATATATTTATGCATTCTTTATTTTTCTGTTTCAGAGTACATGTAGAACATTGAAGTGTGTTTTCAGATTTCTGCTTCAGTGTGAACTTGGCCATCATCACTCTCTATCCTCTTCTTCCTCACACGTTAACTAACTTTTTCTTTCCCACCCCTCAGTCAGTGAATGGCATATCGTCTCATGAAGAGGAAGAGATCAATGAGCTGCAGGAAGACGACAGAGAGATGTTCTCTGACCAGCTGTCCAGCATTGGCATGCTGGGACGTGTGGCCGCTGACCACTGTATCCCCCTGCTCACAACGTAAACACAAAAAACTTATCAAGTACTTCATGTCCTGTCCTGCTGTTAACTCTCCATCAGACTGTGAAAGCAGACTTGTTTTCACCATTTTTGTACCCATACTATGAAAATATATGGGTAGATGGAACAGTTATGTGGCAAAGCTTGATTATTCTCAGTATGTTTGACCTTTTGTAAAAAATCTATACATAGTTTGCTTTATTATAAATGCATTGGAGATTTTGTGTGATGTTGGCATTTGGATTTCAAAAGGTAGCAGAAACTGTGTTTGTGTTCCTGTGTTGACATTGTTTTTATAACCTCATCCTGCAGCCTGCTGGAGGACCGGGTGACTCGGCTGCACGGTCAACTCCAGAGAACCCAGCAGCATCTCATGGCCTCATCTGACCCCGGATCAGTGGACCGCAAAGTCCTGGACGACCTCTATGAGGACATCCACTGGCTCATACTGGTCTCAGGTCAGCAGCAGGACATTAAACTGTGTATATGTCTTTTGTTTTTACAGTTACATTTTGGGGTTTGGAACACAAGAGGAGTTGGGACTCAGTCAGAACACAAGCCAATCATTTTTGAGGAAGACATAGCTGTTTTCCTGCTGATGTTCCCTTTTACTATTTATGATTACACACCTGTCTGTGTACTCAGGATTTTGTTGTTCATGAGCAGTTCTTTACACTCACTACATGGATTAGATGTGACATTTATTAGCGTAGTGTTGTGGATAAGAGTGCAATAATTTTCAAATATGTGTTTGTGTTCATTGTAAGGGGGATTCACTTTCCACAAAAGCTTCACATTTTAAAAACAAATGCCCACATAGTACTGAAGGCACCTCGAAAAGTTAATATGGTGTTCTAATATACTATAATATGGCTGTTTTTATAGTGTTCACAAATGACTTTTCCAGTGTAGTATATTCCACTTAACTGACTTTATTTGTGAACAAGACAGAAGAACAGAACTCCACCCAATCCTGTGGGTTTTTGTTATTGAAATATTGTCTGAATCGGCATCATTAAAGGAGTGCACAGCAGTTTTGCAGATTCCCCACCATTAACTTACTATTTAGGCTGGGTAGGCCACTCTACCAAAAGAAGCCGCCTTTAAAGATGAAATTTTTTTTTAAATGTTGGGTTTATATGGTGGAGCACAATAAAATCACAGAAACTGGAACATTTGTGCGGTTGAAAAACTAATTTTACACCCTTCCACTGAGAAATGTTGTTGATTCGCACCTGTTCATGTTGACAGGGCCAATAATGTGATACAAAGTTGAGTACTAGAGCTCCAACTAACAATTAATTTCAGTATCAGTGAAATTATTAAGTGAAAATAGTGCAAAATTTGCATCACAATCTTCCAGAGCCCATTTGACATTTTGGCTGGCCAACCAAAACCCAAAGATATTAAATTTACTATCACACAAGACTAAGTAAAGAGACAAATATTCATAAATGAGACAGTGGAAACAAGATTTTTTTTTTACTTTTTCTGCATATAAAATTTATTGATTATGAATTTTTTTTTTTTATAAATCTTCTGTTAATCAATTATCAACTAAACATTCAGCTCTATGTGGTACTCACTATGATGATGATCTACTATTTAAAAAAATAACAATTATATGTTATACATATTTAATTAATTTTCTTTTTTAAAAACATGTTATACTTAAAGGTTTTGGAACAACCTAAAATCAACAAAGTGAACAGCCTGTAACGACTCATTGTCATCTGTCTGTGCTTTCCCCAGGGTATTTACTAGCAGACGACCCTCAGGGCGAAACCCCGTTGATCCCCTCAGAGGTGATGGAGTTTTCCATCAAACACTCGACAGAAGTGGACATCAACACGACGCTGCAGATCCTAGGGTCACCCGGGGAGAAAGCCTCGTCCATACCGGGCTGCAACCGCACAGACTCAGTCATCAGGTACCGTTTCTGTTGTATTAGGATGGTATAACGTTTTGAAATTATTATTTTGTGTAGCTTTTTATGCTGAAGAATAAGAATGTCTGCTTATTCAGTGCTTTATTTCCAAGATGTGCTAAGAATTGTTTTGTCCTCTGACTACCAAACCCTTTGGTTTCTATAGGACACCACATTTAGTGTCCTATAGAAACCCCAAATTTCCAAAACCTTCTTTTAGTTGAGGTTAGGTTTATTTTTTCACTTCTTGCCATTAAAAGGCACATTAGCAAGGACTTAAATTATTTGACTGAAATAATTTGTAACTGCTCGTTTTCTTAGGATTTTTGGTACAATAATTTTCTTTTCTGGCTTTTAGGGGATTCTTCTGATAACCAGTGGTTTATGAGCTTATAAGCAATTTGTTTATCCTTGAATGCGTCATAGGAACTGAGACTACTGATAAGTTGTCAGACCTAACACTCACTGGCATCTGGGTTTGAGAACGGGAAGGTCGAGAGCTTCAATCTCCAAACTAACCAAGAAAATATGTGTAGTTAGGGTGAAAGAGGAATTTGAGTCGCGCTCTGACATACAGTAGCTGCTTTTCCGTCATCATCATAAGACTGTGGATGAACTGTAAAGGTCTTAGGTTTGAATTTGTGTAACGGAAGGAATGTTAAGCAAAGCATCTGTGAAAAACAGTATGCAGCACAGGTTCTAAATGCATTTTTGACCCTGCACAATAAGGCTGATTTAAGGACCAGAGGCGGATAGATGGTTGTATTGGAAGAGATGACGTTCCTTTGTGTCCAGCAGCCCTTGGATGTTGTGACAGACCATCTCACTTTACCAGCCAGACCCCCATAAAACTCGCCCAGAATAGACTTCCTCACTGTCCGAGGGTAGTTGGACTTGTAAATGTTGTCACAGTTATTGTCCTATAAAGCAGAAGGTGGGTTAGTTCCTTAGACAGTGTCTGATGGTGCAACCGGTAAAACACAATAACCAAAAGACCCTCTCGCTGGGATTTTAAAGGCCAACTTGCGATGCGTTTAACTCTGGATGACAAATTCTAAAGCATACACACACAATAAAACATAGCTTAATAAAACTGTCACTGCTATAACATGGACTCACTTATCACACAAACTGTGTAAGGATGAGATTCAGATTCCTAAACTGAGCCTCCTACCATAAGAAGATAGTCCAACTTCACAGGCACCAAAAGTGGATTTGGGCACGCTTCATGAACTCGTAAAGCCAAACATTTAAAGTAGAACTGTTGTTTGGACAAAAAAAGCGGCTTTTATTGCGTTTAATCAATAGTGACTTAACTGGAGAGGGTTGAGAGAGGGGTGGATGACACGCAGCAGGGGGCCACGAGTTGGACTCGAGCCCTGGGCTCGAAGGCTGCTTTCTTAGACAAATAACTTTTGAAGAATATTCAAGTTAGAAAGTCTTTAACATGTTATTTTAACATTGTTAATCAGTTCTAGTTGAGAGCTGCTTCTTTGCTTTTACTCTGTGCTGCTTGCCACAGTATTGTAGTCGCAGTGCACTCTGCTGGGTGCACTTCGTGGTGGTCGTCATGGTGATGGCACATTACTGCAAGTGTGTTTTTTTTTCAGCATTATATACCTTAAAAAACTGTTTTCATATCAGTGCATATCGAATAACATACACGGATACCGATATGTCTGCAACACTCCACCACTGCCCGCCATTGTGATAAAAAAGGAAAACCCGCAGATTGGAATCGGACTATAAACATAGATCTCTTTGTTGAAGGCCATGAGGCCAAAACGTTAGCAAAGTTTTCTGACATTGCCAAAATAAATTGGTTTAATGGAGATTAGTCAACTCTTTCCTGGAAATCTGTGCATGCTGCCTTTTATGCCTTGGGTGTTCATCCTGGGTTCAACACTGGAACTGAAGACTTTTTAGCACAACACACAAAATACTGGGAAGGCTCATCTTCTCTAAGATCTAACTATCAACACAGTTTCTGTTATCAGCACTGAAATTGACATTTGCGGTTGCTGCTGCGGTTTAAAAATCATGTCATTTTTTACTGTAACACTGCTCAAAATGACAATGCATCTGCAGGGCAGTAGAAAGAGTGAAAAATATTGAACGGTTATTTCCCCAAGGGCTGAGATTTCAAAACAAATTTCCAGGCAGCACTTTCTAAGTGCCCAGAAATGTGTGTTTATGATTGTGGCATTTTATTTAAAACACAAGCTCTGTTGTTGCAGCATTGCATTCTGGTCTGTTTCTGCTACTGTAGGGATTAGAAATAGTTGTCAACACACACTGGGTGTTTCACAGTGGATTTCTCCCTGTGTGGTTGTTGAACATCAGTACAAAATGATCGCTCTAAAAGTGCACCAAGATGTAATGAAATGGACTCAGGGATGCAAAGCATATCTATGTTGTGTTATCAAATGGGGTTTATTTTTAAACAGTTAATTGTGCAGCCCGATAATGTGCGACTGTGATGTTAGAAATGGTTCAGGGCACTGGGCACTGGATGCTCGTTTGTTTGACAGCGTATGTGTGTATGCAGGCCTGGGCGCATA